ATTCAATAAGCTATAAGGTATGCAGCGTCTCATTGACCAGCTTGTTGCACGAGCCCTCACCAACCAACGAGCGTCCTTAGAGGACGTCCACACAATATCGGAGGAAATTTGTTTACGATCGAAGACAAAGGTGCATGCCACGAGCTGTCTTGACACTGTTCAAGATGCGTTGAGAAAGTAGTTGGTGCATAGAGCTGATGGCTGAACTTGACAGGGCTGTCAACGTCCCAGAGCGCCTGGGCCTTGATTGATATGAGAAGCAAAGAAGAGACCTGGGAAAAACTCCGAGATGAAAAGCAATAAAACATGCGGGAGAATCTTCCGGTGACTCTCGGCACATCTCATCCCTAATCCCTTCCTTTGTCTTTTTCTGCGTACATGGTGTAGATTGAGTTCCGCACCGTCATCTCGGTGGGTTTTGGCAAACTCTGAAGAAGTCGCTGAGGGGTCGCACGTGGAAGCACTGACCGTATTGCGGCTGGAGACAGCACCTGAGGTGTTTCATCACGTCGCTGCACCTGCAGCATTACAGCCTCAACTTCACCATGGTAAATTCCGCAACTTTAAAGAGGTGCAAAGGAGTCGCGCAAATCATTTGGATGGCGATGCAGGGCGAGTACTGTGATCTGTATGCGCAACTCCCGGGAGCATGGTTTCCGTGCAGCATAGCTTGTTGCACCCCTGACCCGGTGTTTTGGAGTGTTTGCTAGATGGCCAGGTGTTCGTAGTGGACAGCAAGGTCGCTACGCTGCTTGAGTCTAGATAGCAAGATCGACGGTGATACAGGCTGAAGTCCGGGAGAAAAAGGCGAGATCTTGCCGGCAGCAAGAAGCAGCGACGAAAAGGCCATTAACACTTTGCTTGGATAACATGGAGTTGCGCTCGCATCGAAGACCGGAAAACCGCAGAGTGGCATATCGGCGAACTGTATTGCGCTCCACCAAGGGATCTGCCATAGCGTCTTGCGCTAGATGAGCGTTAGTGTGGCAGATCTCCCCTATCTCGTTAGCAGCGTACATCACGAAGTCTGAGTCAGCTTGGGCCTTCGACGCGCTAGACTAAAACTGCCGATGTTGTTGAAGCATTTTTCCGAAAGCGCAAGATCGACGCCTTGGGATGCACATCTCCCGAGAGACGTAGATCGTCAGGGGAGCAGCCTTGCAACGCAGACGTGAGGCACCCCAAGGGATCCATTGGGGCAACACGTGGAACAGCAAGCCTCAGGATGCCGTACCTGCCGTGCATGCTCCACGAGATGAGTGCTCAGTGTGACAGAAACTTACGCACTGTCACGACGACCCTTCGCAATATCGCCCGCAGGGCCAATTCCCCAACCCAACATCAAATCCCCCACCAAAGCTAATAGGTACATCGACATCTGTGGCGCAACACAACTTACTCGAACATCCCAAGCAGCGATCCGGAAGCTCGACGACCGGGATCCACCCTCAGATACGCGCTAAAGATGAGGCCATAAGTCCCTTTTACCCTGGTACGTGTGGATTATACCCCAGAACATCCAATCTTACTCCTCACGACGACCAATAAGCTTTCATAGTGGCCGACGTGCCAGAGCCTCATTGGGAACGGCAACATCGGCCAGCAGGTGTATGAAGATCGACAATGTGTGCGGCATGACATGACTAGACAAGCTGTAGTCCCAGCGTTCGCACTATGGTGTAGCCTGGTGTAAAATGCCTGGCCCTACAACGACGGCTGCAGCTTGCCTTAGGCTTTAGCGTACAGTAGATTGTCGATCGGCTGGACAAACTGAATCGGTGTATCAAAGTGGTGAGCATCTGGGTAGACATATAAACCACTCCGTAGACCACCAAACAGTCATCATCCAACTCATCACATTCACTTTCGTTCTTTGCCAGTCGCTCACTTCGCTTTAGACTTCTAATACTCGTCCTTCCTTGTCGACTATCAACAAAACTATCAAAATGCGTTCCACAATCGCCGTATCCGTCTTTGCGCTCTCCGCCTCGGTTCTCGCAGCCCCTACTCCCCAGGTTGCTGCTGTCTCTGGCCTCGTTGGTGGTCTCACCAGCACTGTCGGCTCTGTCACCAACCCCAGTGCTGGCAGTGACAACTTGATCTCTGGCAACGGCAACAACAACGGCCAGAACAACGGCAACGGAAACTCTGCTGGCAATGCCAACGGTAACAACAACCAGGCTGGTACCGGCAACGCTGCTGGTAATGGCAACACCTTCAACCTCAAGCCTCTCGGTGGCATCCTAGGAAACGCCAAGCGTGGTCTTGTTGACACCGTCGAGGGCGTCCCGGTTGCCGGACCCATTGTCGATGGCGTCCTTGACGGCCAGGGCGGTCTGCTCAACGGCGTCACCGTCGGCCCTACCACCGACTCCCTCACTAAGGGTCTTCTCAGCCGTGGTCTTACCGACAGTCTTGACCTCAGCAAGCTGAGCCAGACTCAGCTCCTCTCTCTCCTGGGCCAGGTCACTGGCGCCCTCCAGACCGGTGATGCTACATCCGGTGTTACTGATACGGTCAAGCCCGTCACTGGAGGCCTCTTGAAGCGCGCGGGTACCCTCCTCCCTGGGGTCACCGACACCCTTAACGGTGTTGTTAGCACTGTTGGCACTACTGTCAACTCTGCTAAGGGAAACACTGGCTCGACCACTGACACTGTCAAGCCTGTTACTGGCGCTGTTGGAGATCTCGTCGGCGTTGATGGTGTTATGAAGCGCGCAGGCACTCTTATCCCTGGTGTCACTGACACCCTTAACGGTGTTGTTGGCACTGTTGGCACTACTGTCAACTCTGCTAAGGGAAACACTGGCTCGACCACTGACACTGTCAAGCCTGTCACTGGCGCTGTTGGAGATCTCGTCGGCGTTGATGGTGTCATGAAGCGCGCAGGCACTCTTATCCCTGGTGTCACTGACACCCTTAACGGTGTTGTTAGCACTGTTGGTACTACCGTTAACTCTGCCAAGGGAAACACTGGCTCGACCACTGACACTGTCAAGCCTGTCACTGGCGCTGTTGGAGGTCTCGTAGGCACCAACAATGTCTTGAGGCGCGAGGTCCTCGGCGGCGTTACCGGCGCCGTCAACGGTCTTGTTGGCTCCGTCTCCACCACCGCAGGCTCCGTCACTGGTGCCACTGCTGGCAGCGGTAACTCGCTTCTCAACAACGGCAACGGCAACGGCCAGGGCAATGGCGTAAGCTTTCCTCAAACATATTGTCATCTGCACTCTCATGCTAACATCGATGTAGAACAACAACCAAGCCGGTAACGGTAACGGTAACGGAAACTCTGCCGGCTCTGGCAACTCTGCCGGCAACAACAACGACTTCAACGTAAGTCCCGAAACCGAGCTCCCCAACATCAACGGCCCGCTCGTCAAGCTGCCTGATGTCAACGTTGCTCCTGTGGTCAAGTCAGTCTAGTCTAGATCATTGGGTAGGAGTTGCTTGCTTTGGTCACACCTGCTGACAGCTTCTTGTAGCTTTAGATGAAAAGTCAACAATGATGGAAAGTTGATACACCTGTAACGAACTTCGCCTTTCGAAGACGCTTGACGACTGGTATTGGTCTGACGGATTTTTATATATATATACACTTTAGTAGTAGTACAAATGTACCGTTTTCACGCTTGTAATACTTGTTAAATCCTCCGTATCGCTGCAGCTAGCATCGCAGTGGTAGTTTGTGCCTTCTTATGATATCTGTGAGATCTGCCTACAACATACGAAAACTTTCCAAACTGGCAGATTGTTGTACATACCTATCACGTGTTCCTTTCCTTTCACTCTACTAGCGCCTCCCTTGCTACTATATAGTTCAGGGCTTCCTCCCTCTTACATAGAACAATCACATTCTACTCTTCTTGTTCTACACAGATACCACGTTGAGCTAAGCGCGATTTCATTGACTTCATTTACTCACCATGTTATCCTTTCAAAAGTCACGGACTGGTTTTCTCGTTCTCGCCATAGTCCTCCATTAAAGGCTCTCCTTTCCTGCTTGAAGCTCATGGGTTACGGAAATCATGAATGGCTCGCCCTCCATAGGTCATCATGGAGTATCCCCAAGTCTTTTGACCATTACCTTCTGCCAAAGTCCGTTTTCGCTAAGGCTCTTCGTCATTTCCGTGATGCTGTCCTCCTTTGATCTATTCACGCCGACCTTAGTGCTTTAGCGTTTGGACAGGCTTCTTAGCTAATGCATCTTCAATGGCCTGACCTATAAACGAGTTCAAGTCTCCAGACGTAAGAAAGCCTTTATTATCGAGTTTGTCCTGGATCTTGACAGCCAGTGGACTGTTGCTGTTCTCACGCATCCAGCTGTGAAGATCATCACCAACCGAGTAGTGTACCAGATCGCAATTTTGAGCTAGGTACGCGCAGCGACTATCTTTCCCCGCACCGAGCGCACCTAGTCAAGGGTCACTATGTAGCTAAGAAGTTGAAATCAGTAACGTCGGGGGTATACCTAGGACAAAGATGATAGCAAAGCTGTGGAGCTTTGATGGATTCATGATACTGACTAACAACTACGACGCTGAGACAACCTGTTGGGTGTGGATGAGGATAGTCGTATGTATTAGGTCTACCGAGCGAAGTTAAGGTAGAATAAGACCCATGTATACCCCGCGTGCGCCATCCTTAGCATCTTGTGATACATCCTGTAGACCACATGCAAGATGAGGATCCCGGGACAGCACGCTCGAAAGCATGAAGAAGAGACTGATATTATCGCTTTCATGCTGTTCCGTTGTTGGTTCGTCCTGATTGCTTTTGTGGCAAGCGCCCTCGCTTTGTATGTTAAAGAAGTTGTTGCGAGCAAGCACGAAAGCGATTTGTCGCTGTCAACATGTCCACAATTTCTTGTTAGTTATATCACGCCTAATCACTACCAACAATACAATCTGCACCGTCCAGTTCTTCGATTTTTTTTTGAAGAGCTCAGCTATCATATAGCACTTGGTGTCGATGTTGTAGGCTTCTCAAGACATTCATCAGTCATGGTTCCGCTATCACTGTTGTCAGAAGTCCCTGCTCTTCGGTTCTTCGTCGTTGTAGTTCTTACGACATGCGCCTACATTTTCCACAAACAGTCTGCCTCAAAGCCAGTCAGGAACTTCCCTCATGAAACTGCCGTCTACGACGTTCCTGCCGAGAGTCCGGTCTTCGAGGCACAAGAAGCATCACACCCATCTGAGCCACCAGATACTTCTGTCTCGGCCAACTACTTCCCACCTCGAGAATTCAATTACAAATGTGGCTTCTGTTTCCACACTGAGACCAGCTCATTTATACATTATAACGGACGACAAGGCTCGTAAAGACATGAAACTTCTGAAAGAAGCCGGTATGCGCAAGTCCGACATCGCCAGCGGAGAACCATTCCTCCACCCCAAATTTCTCTCTAGTCTGATTCGCTACTGCAAAGAGAATTTGGGTGTCGACGCATCAGTATCATCAGTAACGGTAGCAAGGTCACCGAGAAGTGGATGCAGGAGAACTCCCAGTGGTTGGATATCCTGGCGATCTCCTGTGATTCTTTTAATGCTCAGACAAACGTCAAAATTGGGCGCGGTGAAGACAAAAAAACGTAGACCAGCTATGTCAAATCGCGGAGTGATTCGAGACTTACCACTTCGAGCTCAAGCTCAACACTGTAGTCAATATCTACAATTGGATTGAAGATATGGTCGCCAACATCGAGAAGCTAGCGCCATTCCGATGGAAGGTCTTCCAGTGTCTCATCGTTGCAGGTGAAAATGATAACGAAACTTGGAAGCGCGACGCAAGGAAGTTTCTGGTTACTGAGGAACAATGGAAAACCTTCTGTGATCGACACAAGGCCCTTCCGTGCTACGTATCTGAGGACAATGACTCCATGGCTAGGAGCTACCTCTTGCTTGACGAGTATATGCGCTTCATGGATAAGGGCGAAGGCATGGTGACGACTAGTGATTCCATCTTGGATGTTGGCGTTCCGAAGGCAATGGAGCAGATTGTCTGGGACAAGAAGTCGTTCGTCGAACGCGGGGTTATCTATGATTGGGGCAGGGCAGATATGAAGCCGACTAAGGAACTTAGCTGCGGTATCCGTCTCAACATGGAGGAACTGGAATTTTAGCTGGTTTGAAGACAACAATATTTTGATAGAAGCGCAGATTTGTGAATATAGAATGAGACATTGGCTATACCTCAGCTTGTAGACACACGAACATAGTGCACGCAACATCATCACACAGTAAGTCAGACATGTGCAGATGGTGATTGATTAAGACCTGTTCCCCAGCTAGCTCTTGCGTAGCAATGCCAGGTGGCCTCCGGCTGTCACGGTATCACCCGGCTTCACCAAAATCTTCTCAACCTTTAGTTTTCCAGCCTTCGTCACCGAATCTGGCGTTTTGACCGCAATTTCTAGCTTCATCGCCTCAAGGATAACGATCTGCATCATGTTAGCATCGCCAAATGAACAATCCCCTATCTAAACTCACCACATTCTCGTCACCAACCTCATCCCCCTCACTAACCTCTACCTTCCATACATTCGCATCGACTGGCGCTTCGACCCCAACAATCGCAGGATCGTCCAGCAGCTTTTCCACTGTTCCTTCGTCAACTTGGCTCTCAGCTTTCTCTTTCCTCCAACGTTCCAAGCTCTCGTTCTCGGCTTTCGTCATTTCGTCTTGCGCAACAGCTTGCTTCTTTCTGATCTCCCCCACTTCGTCGTTCGTCGTCTCTAGAAGCTGATTGTGCTGTGCCATGTCAAACTCCACCTCATCAAACTCCCATTCATATTTACCCGCACGGAATTTGGCAAAAATATCATCGAGTTCCTGTTCGCTGACCTGGTAAAAAGTGAGGATGTCGAAGTCACGGAAAATCCATGGCTTGTTATCGAAACCAGGTTTATAGGAGTAATAGTCCCAGCAGGGGACTGTTCGACCGATCATTTGATATCCGCCTGGAGAATCAACAGGGTAAATGGACATGCAACTACCTGCCCAACCTAGAGTACCCTCTGGTGTGAAAACGCGACTCGGATTCATCTTAGGGGCCGAAATGCGCTGACGTGGGTCTACCGGAAGTGAGACGGTGTTGCCACAGAAGAAGCCCACAACAACTGCCATGAACTGGCCAGTAAGATATATCTCTTTGAGTTGTTGTGGTGTAAATGCGTTATTCTTTGCTACAAAACTCAGGTTGTCGGGCAGGTAGGGGGCATGTGGTCGCTGGTTCGTCATGTAGCGTTGAGTTGCTTCGTCTTGGAGTTTCGATTCAAATGAGAGGGGTAGCTTGAATACGCGCGTAGGGACTTTTGTGTTCCTCAAATCACCGAGATTTGACTCGATAGACTGGAGATGTGCGACGAGGACCGAACGAGGGAGTTTAGAGCCATTGTAGTGAAGGAGCAGCGTGGTACAGCAGCCAACGGTGTTGTAAAGGTTGACTTTGATGATGTCTGGAGTTGATTCTGAATGCAACGCGTTCTCCAAGGCAGTGACACGGCAGCGGTGATTGAGATTGAACTCCTCATTACCATATTCGACCAGAATATGGTCATCACCTCCCTGACGATACCGAACCTGTGGAGTGCTCACGTTACCCTCCCTCTTCCATACAACTGCCTTTCCCAAATCGCCCTCGTGAAAATTGCAATGTGCACCTTGTAATTTCTCGATGCTGTCGAATCCGTTTCCGCTCTTGATGGCTTGCTCAATTGAGTCGAGGAAATTATCGTTTTTCTTTCTCTTCTTCAGTGCATCCTCCAGTCCGACTCGAATATATTTCACGGTGTTGCCTGCCTTGAGCTGTCCTAATTTCCACCAGTCTGCCTTGACGACCGTCGTGCTGCTGGTAAAACCGCCAAAGTTTGGGCAGTCTACTGGAAAGATACATGGGTCATCTCCTGTCCAGTTCAAGGTACCCAATGGATATCCGTATTCTACTAGATTGCTGGGGTGTGCGCCACCTTCGCCGCCATCCTTACGGGCCCACTTCGGTACCGGCCCGATCAGTCTAATTCCACTCCGCGATGCGTTGTGAGATACCTTCCACTCAGTGTTGTATATCTCCTCGATGAACTTGGGGTCGAAGTAGCCTTCGTCATGGGGTCCGACCATGGCCGTGATCTCCCAGTTTGTCTTATAGACTGGTCGCAGCTCTTCCGGAAGCGAAATACTTGTAAAGTCTTCTGGAAGCTTGTTCATTATCTGTAGTAAGTCACCGGGGGCAAGCGCACGGCCTTGGTAGCCTCCAATCGCCACAAGCGGCGACGTTGACTTTGAGCCAAAGTACTCTGCAACTGACGGAAAGCCTCCGTAGATGGCTAGGTAGGAGCGGCAACCTCCACCTATTGTTTTTCCGATTTTGAGCTTTTGACCAGCCTCAATTTTCACGCTCTCCCACAAGGGAAACTCCTTGTCGTCAAGTGTTGCCTCCATGGGAGCGCCGCACAAAGCTACGATAGCAGGACCAACAAACTTCAGTTCTGGTCCACTTAACGTAATTTCTAGAGATTCCTTCGATCGTGGATTCCCAACAAGCATGTTCGCAATCTGAAACGATATTGGGTCCATTGGCCCAGAGTGAGGCACACCTTTACCGACTGTCGGCCTCCCAGGAAGATCCTGGATCAAGGTATATGCGCCAGCTGAGATGACATCGATAGCATGAGGCGTATAGTTGAAGCTTTCCAGAAAGCTGGTCATAGTGTTGCCCTCTTTGAAATGCGAATCGTCCAGTATGCTGGCGAGAAATTCGAGGTTTGTAGGTGGTCCGCTTATAGTAGATTGTGTAAGAAGCTCCCTCATCGACGTGATAGCCCCGTCTCTGGATTGGGAGTGAACCATTGCTTTCGCTATCAAAGGATCTAGAGTTTGTTAGCACATGACTGACGAACTCCATCCAGGCTCAGATCTCATGATGAGATCCGTGTATCACAAATGTAAAGAAGGATAGAGCGCCATACCGTAATTGGGAGTGATACGAACTCCTGCAAAGATGAAGATACGAAGTCAGTGTATGTCTCACATGCATTTCGTACAGGCACAACTTACCTGTGAAAACCCAGGTATCGATGCGAGTTCCAGGAACATCCTTCCATGCCACTTTCTGCAGCAGTCCAGGAGATGGTGCGTAGTCCCTTAGCGGGTTCTCAGCGTAGACTCGAGCTTCGATAGCCCAACCTGTTGGACCTGATGGCTGCATATGCTTCAAGGTCTCGCCATCAAGCCCATGCTTACCCGCCAACTGTGCATCTGCTTGCTTTAGCATAAGCTCTACCAGATCCACATTGTAGCAGAGTTCTGTAATGCCGTGCTCGACTTGGAGTCGCGTGTTCATCTCTAGAAAGAAGAAATCGCCGGATTTATCGTCTACGAGATATTCGATGGTGCCCGCAGAGCCATATTTGATCGATTCAGCTAGGCGTACTGCGGCGTCCCCTAACTTCTTTCGCAGCTCTGGCTGCCGTTCCACAAACGGACTTGGACACTCTTCGATGACTTTCTGATGTCGTCTTTGAATGGAGCATTCGCGTTCGCCAAAGTGAATTGCTTTACCTTGGCCATTGCCGAATACTTGGACCTCAATATGATGGATAGCAGGGTAGAAGGCTTCAATGAACACTCCAGGATTTTTGAAAAGGGTCTTTCCTCTTGATTGCACCATCCGAAACCCCTCGCGCACCTCTTCAACTTTGTTACAGGTGATGAGTCCCATACCGCCACCACCACCAGTCGCCTTCAACATGACGGGAAAACCGATGCGCTCGCTTTCCTTTACGGCGGCTTCCTCGTTCTCTACCAGTCCTTTGGTTCCAGGTACAATGGGAACATTGGCCTTTTCCGCAAGATCTCGGGCGGTGTGCTTGACGCCAAAAGCCTCGATAGCCTCTGGAGACGGTCCTGCGAATACGATACCTGCGTCACCCACTCGTCTCGCAAAGGGCGCATTCTCCGAAAGGAACCCGTAACCTGGAATGATAGCATCGACCCCCTTTTCCTTAGCTATCCGTAGAACAGCTTCTTCGTCCGTGTACGCAGTCGCATTGCTACCAGGCAAGAGGATGGCTTCATCGGCATCACGCACGTGTTGCGATGCAGCATCAGCTTCTGAATAGATGGCGATGCTCTTGATACCGAGTTTCCTTGCAGTCCTGATTATGCGCACCTGTCCGTGCAGGTGATGTCAGTTATCGACAACGGAATCACTCCGCGGCGCAATCTACGTACCGCAATCTCCCCACGATTCGCAATCAATAGCACTCGTAGTTTCTGAATATTAGACATTGGATCGAAGTATCTTCAACGCAACTATCTCATCCAACATTCCCACGAGCATGCGACCTCTATGAAGCTCGTCGTTGGAGGCAATGCAGTAGCGTATCATGACCCCACACTTTCTGTACTTTCCGCCATTCCCCTTTCGCGCCGATATCTTACCTCCACCCGTTGGAGCGAAGGCGTTGTAATTGGTGATTCGGCATACTCCACTCCTGCCGAAGTGTCCCCGAGTCTGAAGACGTCACCGCGGAGCTTCGAAAGGCGGGGTCGACTTCGATAACAAGCATGAGGGCATGACGCCGCGCGTGAAGTGCGTTTGATACCTATTGGGGGTGTGGGGAGTTGATAGACGGGTCGAATGGCTGTGTAAATTCGCCGAGTAGCTTGAGAGTGTGACCTCCGATCCGAGAAGGTTACTCCAACTACTCCAACCGTGCCGTTACTATTGGATGCGCATTTGATCACGCCTGCCTGGGCATACTCTAGGAACAGCACAAGGTATCTCACATCTCGACCGCAGTATATCGCGCCCATTTTGCCGACGCGTTTTCACAGAAAGAGTTTTCCACAATGCCAGCTATCAAACATGCCGTAAAGATCAACGTAGATTTAGGAGAAGGATACGGAAACTTCAAATGTGGTCCAGATGATGAGTTGATTCCGCTCATTGACCACGCGAACATAGCATGTGGTTTCCACGCCGGGTAAGGCAAAAACCTATAGTCATACCATCGACTCAGTCTAAAAATGCATCAGGGATCCGTTGATCATGCATCAAACGGTGCTCGCATGCAAAAAGCACAACATAGCCATCGGCGCCCATCCTGGCCTGCCCGATATTCAAGGGTTTGGTCGACGAGAGATCAAGATGTCGCCTGAAGAACTGACAGCGGCTATTCGCTACCAAGTGGGCGCCCTGAAAGCATTCTTAGATGCAGAAGACGTACCACTACACCACGTGAAACCACACGGCGTGTTGTACGGGATGATGTATCGGGATAAAGAGGTGTGTCGAGCAGTTTATGCCGGAGTACCCAAAGGGACAACTGTGTTTGGTCTTGCGGGTACCTTGCATGAGGAGGTCGCGAAGGAGCTTGGATTGCCGTTCGTCGCCGAGTTGTATGGAGATGTCAAGTATAGCAAAGATGGAACGTTGGTCATTGATCGGAAGAAGAAGTACGTTATGTCAACGACTACATTCACGCTAACATGCTCACCGCATACAGGCCATGGCATCCAGACGAGACGAGGAAGCACGTTCAAAGTCAAGTCGAGAGTGCGACTGTTACCGCCGTTACGGGTGAGGAGGTGAAACTCCCCATAGGCGACCACGAGGTCTCGTTGTGTTGTCATTCTGATTCACCTGGAGCTGTGGAAATTGTGAAGGCGGCGAGGGAGATCGTTGATCAATTCAACAACAAGCACTTTGAGAAGTCCTGAAGAAGTCTCATATGGAAAATGTCTCTCCAATCTACGAATGCCATATGAGAGCAACAAAAGGTTTTTGTTTCAACATGAGTAGTCATAGTAGAATACCGATACGAGCGTCGCCAAGCAACTTGAACATTAAGTAGATCTCGAACTTAATTAACACGATAGCATTTGGAGATCACAAGGCTCTTGGCACGTGTTGGTCATATTTGAGGGTTATTGATAAATCTATTCACACTGAACTCCACTACCTATTTCCTAACCCAAGTCATTCAGAGGCCCACGCTCCTATTTCATGCATACATTTTCAAAGAATTCAAACAAGATCCAAGCACCCTCGATTACATGCCGAACATAGGCCATGGATGCATCAAGACGCCCTATATGCAAGTCGGTCATCGATCTTCCTCTCGTTTTGCTTCCACATTACGCAACATATCTGCCCTCTCGTGTGCGTAAGCTTTCATGGGGTATAATCGAACAACAAAATCTGTCGGTCGAGTGCTGTATTGGTGACCGCCAGTGGGCATATAATGAGCCCATAGTTACCGTTCGCCTCGGCTGTGGGTAGTCGACTGGGCAAATTGCGACTCGTAGAGTGCAGCCCATGCAACTCTCGCGGCATTTTCCAATACGGTTGCACTCAGTCACAGCGTCGTCATAGCTGTGGTGTCTGAAGGCCAGAATGGCACATGAAAGCCATTACTACACTAGTCGTGCTCCGCCATAGCTAGTCGTATCCTTATGAATCGCTTGCATCGGCCATGGTCACGTCACCTGCACCAGTATCCTGAACCAGTGGCGATGTTGCAGGAAGGATGGCTGATCGCGGTCGGTTGTATTCGACGTCCAGATGGTCGGGCATGCTCGCTGGGGTGGAGGATCGCGAGTCGAAATCCTCTTCGGCAGGTGGTGAGAAGTCCCACACCTAACCACATTAGCATGTCAGTCTGGTGTGATTGTGCGCAATTAACTTACCTCCATAATGGTACGACCGCCCCGGCTGGCCATGATAACAGCCTTTTCTTCCTCGAATACGACTCTCCAGACAGCCTCGGCAGGGCTACTCAACTCTCGTACGGGAACACCAGTCTTGAGATCCCAGACCTTGACGCGACCATCGCTGCCACCGCTGACTATCCTGGTGTTGTCAAACTGTAGACTCGTAACGCTGTTGTCATGGGCAGCTAATCGGTGAATAGCCTGATATGTTGCGAGGCTCCACACGCGGACCGAGCCGTCTGATCCACCAGTAACAAGGATATCGTCACGCATTTGAAGTTGTCCGACGAGCGAGGTGTGGCCTTGTAGCACAGCCAGGCATTTGCTACACGAGAGAGTTAGTTTTCGATAATATTGTGGTACGCAATCGGACTTACCCATCGTTGGGATCCCATATCCGGACGCTGGTGTCCAAACTGCCTGTCGCAATCTTCTTTCCGTCGAAGGCGATCGCATAGATCTGACTAAAGTGACCAGTGAGTGTGCGCAGACACTTGCCTTCGGATATGCTCCAGATCTTCGCTGTGGTGTCGTAGCTGCCGGACACAACGATATCGCCGTGTATTTCGAGGCATCGGACGCTAGCCTGGTGACCAATGAGCACATGCTTGCATAGACCCTTCTTGAGGTCCCAGATGCGAAGTGTGGTATCCCTTGACCCAGATATAGCCGTGTTCGCATCGGACATCTTCAGACATCGGACTGTCGAAGTGTGGCCACGGAGGGTAAACTGGGGGAACCTAGCAATATCTGTTAGCTATGGTGATCGCGTAGTGTGTAGAAAAAGCGTACCCAGTCGCAAGATTCCACACGCGCACGTCACGATCGCATCCACCACTGACCAAAAGATCACCCCAAGGCACCATGGCCCATACGCCCATGACGTGTCCCTGAAGCGTCTTCTGGTGATCGCCTACTGTGTCGAAAACATGTATCTTCGCATTGTCGAGCGCAACCACAATGTACTTGTTCGTCAGATGCAGACTGGTTACTACGCCCTGATCTGGGGTGATCTGCCGCGCGTCGCATACTCCTCCATTCCGCCATGCCGTCTCAACCATGTACCGCTGCTTGAAATGCGATCGGTATGTGGTAGCCTGTTGTTTCCGTTGGGATGGCTTCCTCTTAGCAGCTCGATCAAGGCTCTGCGTCCGGAGACCCTCAGCGCCGCCAGTTGATGATGGGCCAACTTCGACATGTTCTCTCTCGGTAACGTCTTCTATCCTGGGTGCGCGCTCGTCGTTCTGCCACCATGATTTTGCGTCGGTCTCCTCCATCTCATCGTTTGCGTCATCCTCCTCGATCCTCTCTTCTCTCGACAGAGCCCTAAAGGAGTACTTCTGGCACAGCAACCGCCAGGCACTGTCATCGTTGACGAGTTCGCGCCACTTCTTGGACACTTGCGACGCCCGAGCGAGGGTGGTGGGGTCGTCGACGCATTCTAGAATCTGTACAATGTGTCAGCGATCTCGGCGATACAAGTTTTCGGTACGGAACCCACCCTTAAGCATAGTTCGGTGGGGAGGACCATGAAGGGGTCCTTTTTTAACCTGGGGCTGACAAACTCGGCCACGAAGCTCAACTCCTGACTGTCGCATAAATTCAGCAGCTCTCCCAGCAATCGCATCCGCTCCGCCCTGTTCATATCGCCAAACTGCGCTCGTATGCTCTTGATGTCGCCATCTTCGTGTTCGGCTGCGGTGCTCCAGTCGGGCACTCGTTGGGTCGGCGTAGGACTGGGCGCCGGTGTAGGCGGTGAAGCAGGCGCCGAGGGAAGGAGATTGTGCGGTATGGTCGAACTCAAGGGACTCTGAGGTGTGATTATGGGCCGTGGTGCTCCCGATCGAGACATTCGGCCGGGCTTGCGCGGGTGTGGTGATGTGTACATGGTGGAGCGCGAAGAGGAGGCGGTAGCGGTGGCAGAGGCAGCCATGTCGGTATCCGAGTCTTCAGTCTGCGGCCCTGGAGCATCTCGGTCTTCCCGGACGGGTGTGAAGTAGTCGGACGAGTCCATGACGGAGGTCCTGCAGAGTTCGGATGCGGTATGGCGTTCCCTGTATGGCACGGCGCCCTCTGTGTAGCAGCAGGGGAGAGAGCGACGGGGGATTCAGGCGGGTGTATACGTCGTTCGACAGGGCGCAACTATGGAGAGGATCGCACTTGGAGAAAGGGAAGGAGGTCTGCGGAGGTTTCGAGTGGGTAGGCGCGACTGGGTGACGCCGGCGGCCGGCCAAGACATCACTCAGCCCTGGAACCTCAGACGTCCATTTCCAAGCTTCACATCACCATCCCTGCATATGCACTTGAGACGACTGAGCCTAGTTTGCCTGTAAAATCTCCTGTGCAGCATCTTGAGTGCAGGCCATAATTAGACGCCCGTCGTCAAACGCCCCAGGGGGTCAGGTGCAGGCCATGTTTCATGCATTGTATTGTCTCTGCGAACGCCAAACCGCCATGGTTCCCTCGACTCCAACAAGCGCAAAACAAATGGTTGAGACCCAATTCCTCGAGTACTCCGTAGTACCGAGCCGTCTAGCTATCTGATAATCGACGTCCAGCTGCCGTCACCTGTCACCCAGAGAATTGCACCGTTGTACGCCTCAGGCATAGTGCAACACCACCCGAGCACCCATTTGCACGGCGCTTAAAGTCACGACGGTCACGAGCAGGATTTAATAATCACAAGAGACCCTTGTTCAGACTCAAGAACTCACATGTCATGGCGGTCACGGCTTGCACCTCCTTTTTGCTCAATGCTTAGCTAGCACAGTCTGAACACATTAGAGGGTGTGCACGGTTCCCGTCGTAAAGGCTCGATCGATCGCTCTAAGTTCGCCATGATGTTTCCAGCTCTCAAACACCTTACTTTGGTACCTCTTCCCAGGTTCGGTCGGATGAGCCAAACTATCGCCTCTACTCGTGAAGCTATGTCATGTTCGATGATGTATGGTATGCATCTCTAGATGATAACGCATCATCAGGCTACATGTTCTCGGGGATCTCGGGTGACATGCTAGCACATTTCTTGTGTTCTCTAAGCTCTGTGCGGCAAAAGTACTGCAGACATTGATGAACACCCCAAATATAGGCACCATGTCGGCGAGGCCGTGATAGAGTGCCAGCGGTGTAGAAGCTCCAGCATTCTTTGAGCAGAGATCATCTGGCTGGTTTGAGGCAGAGTTTCAGGGTTGAGATGGGCAGGAGGCTGCGCGAAATCAAAATTGCACTATGAAGTCGAGATACATTTCCTCATCAGGTCATATTAAGCATGGTGTCGTTGTGTTCTCAGGTACCAGCCCTGGATGTGCCTGGGTAGAGGCGGCTTGCTTACCCGAAGCAGACTGGCAGGACGGGAAACGTGCGAGGGAAGCACGCAATTTCCCCGCGACGTCATTGGATCCGACATCGTCGCATTCCCATAAGTTTTCGCACGACGGTCCGGCAACGGTCCAGCCGTTTGTCATCGTGAATATCGCGTCATCATGGAGTCTCTCCGTCTCGTCCCCACTTTCGCATACCTCTGCCCTCGATCCGCGCGTGCTGTGGGCAACCGGTACAGCCATGAGCGTTCCCCGTAGCCTGTTCGCAGGCACGCGAACAGCACGATCCGCAACAACTACACAATGCTTCGCCAATAGATCAGCTCAGACTTCGCTGCTATTTGCAAGACGGCAGTCGAACCAAGCCACCAGAAAGCTGCACCAGCAGACACCACGAAAAGCACAACATGCCGCCGCCGCTCGAGAAGTTGAATCGTCAAACCCCGCCCTCTCCTTCCCATGCCTCGACGCTCAAGAGGCTCGCTCTGTGTCTCTTTCGAGAAAGCGGGCATCTTCAGGACCCGAACCCTCATATACCTCTGGACACACCCTGAATTTCCATTCGACACAGCCCATACTCCTCGATTGGGGCGGCATACTGCCAGAGTTCAACATTGCATATGAGACATGGGGGCAACTCAGCCCGAACAAGAGTAATGCCATCCTACTCCATACTGGGCTATCCGCTTCTAGTCATGCCCACAGCACAGAAACGAACACAAAGCCGGGATGGTGGGAGAGGTTTATCGGGCCAGGAAAGCCTTTGGATACAGACAAATACTTCATCATCTGCACAAACGTAATCGGAGGATGCTACGGCTCGACTGGACCTTCCTCAATCGACCCTGCCAACGGCGAACGATACGCGACCCGATTTCCAATTCTTACAATGGAGGACATGGTACGCGCACAGTTCCGACTGCTGGACAACCTTGGCATTCAGAAGCTGTATGCGAGTGTAGGATCGAGTATGGGTGGTATGCAAAGTCTAGCCGCTGGGACACTGTTTCCTGACCGCGTGGGCCGTCTTGTCAGCATAAGTGGATGTGCACGCAGTCACCCATACAGCATTGCTATGAGACACACCCAACGTCAAGGTTAGTACATAGGAGGGGCATGGATCATGCGCAGTTAATAACCTATTCCCAGTGCTCATGATGGACCCCAACTGGAATCGCGGTTTCTATTATGACAGCATCCCTCCACATGGTGGTATGAAGCTTGCACGAGAAATTGCCACAGTCACATATCGAAGCGGCCCAGAATGGGAGCAACGGTTTGGTCGACGGCGGGCAGACCCTTCGCGACCACCGGCGCTTTGCCCCGATTTCCTCATCGAAACCTACCTCGACCACGCGGGGGAAAAATGGTGTTTGGAGTATGATCCGAATAGCTTGCTCTACGTCTCCAAGGCCATGGACCTGTTTGATCTAGGACAAGAGCACCGCAATCGCATCAACGAGGTGCGGAAGGCAAACAGTGGCAAGATCCAGGCTTACCTGGATGGCCACGACATTACGTCTGACACGAGCAGCGATGTGTGCAACTTGACTTTGCCTGATCGACCATACGAGGAGAAAGAGCAGCCTGCTGATGTCGACTCTGTAGCGCAGACTGACGGCAATGAGCCACCAGCCGATCTCGTGGCTGGCCTGAAGCCTCTCGCAAATACCCCGACTCTCGTTTTGGGTGTTGCTAGCGACATCCTGTTCCCTGCGTGGCAGCAGAAGGAAATAGCAACAACGCTCAAGCGTACTGGCAACAAAAATGTTACGCATATTGAACTCGGGGAAGAGAAGAGCTTGTTTGGCCATGATACTTTCCTTCTCGATCTCCAGAACGTCGGTGGCGCTGTGCAGAACTTCCTTGGATGAGCACGTTACTCCAAATTACCATTATTTTCTTTGTTCGGGTCTCTTCGTACTGGAAGAGTCGTTGGACTCGAAATGTATGCATTGCGGGCGTTTGTTGAAGCTTTACGATCAACCACATGTATTTACACTAAAACGATCGGTATCGAGATCCATCTTACAACATGTCTACTTTGCCCCAGGTATCTCATTCTTGACGTTCAGCCCCTTCCACTCTGCGCTCATGGCCTCATCAATCCAGTCGCACTCTGTCAACCCAATATGTTCGCGGACGTACTCTTCCAGCGTCTTAGCTCCCGGGGCGCCTTCGTAGATGGCTATGGCTCCAACACGGGGGATGTGTAGGCTGGATGCGAGTCGGGAATCCGCTGATGTCTGGACCGGAACGAGTCGTGTGACTGTCTTGAATGTTTTCGGTGTAGCAAGTGTTGAAGATAGGGTGGCTAAGTGGATCAGTGTTGGAAGATGGGCGTGTGCGGGTGATAGAGAAGGTTTGGGGTGAGTTAGAATGACCATGCTTAAGGGCTTGAGGGCTGCTTCGGAATGTTTTTGTGGCGTCTCTTTCTCCTCTGCGCCATTTCCGGCCTTCCCAGCGAGATTGAGCTGAACCAGGTCCTTGGTAAGCTTTTGATTCGCAACAAATGCGGTCGAAGGAGCGTTCTTGGCAGCTAAAGCTTCCAGATGGCGCGTTACGCTATTGAGACCGACGAGCAGATGCTCCCCAATATCTGGCACAGAAGGCGCAGTCTCGGTCATCGTGGGATCATCATTACTGGAATTCGTGTTGCGTCTTCTCTTCTTCCCTCTGGATGGATGGATGTGGTTTCTGCGATGGTCACCTAGCGGTGTGATAAGACTACGACGTTGTTAGTGGTCAGGAAAGAAGAAGGCATCGTAGGATCTTGAGTGGTGAGAAAACTCCCGTTACGGAGACTCATCGAAACTTGAGCGCCAACTCCAGAAGAAGTGGTAGGAAGATGAAGCTTCGCTTTGCGTACCTACTTGCAAAGCAATTCTAGTATGACTTCTTCGTCTTCTCGTGAAACTTCAGGCCTGCGAAGATCAGCAGGGTGTATTGAGAGACCGCGTGCGTGCCTACCACTTCGTCTCTGCGAATGGCGACGATGTTTTGAAGACGGGCTTCGCATTCTGTTTGGCAGGTGCCATTGCCAAGATAGCTCTTCCAACTGGCTCGTTCCGCTTCTCAATACTGGCTGTCCCAATAGGTGTCTGCCGACGTCGAAGAGCAGAAGTACTTTTCAAGCTGGCCGAAGTGCGCCCGACACCCTGCCAGTGCTCAGTCTAGATAAGTGAGACTTGTAAGGTGGAGTAGACAGGCGTGCCTTGCATTAGATAGAGGATTTCTCGATCTTGGTCTGATGAGGCCTAGACTGCTCCCACCAGCGGCGCGCTAGCTCCACAGCGGGAACCAACTGGGATGACGATGGTGGGGTTTCTTAGCTACGCGTCGAATATCTGAAGCTCTGCCTACCAAGTTGAATCTGATTCTTTCTCATTGCATTACCCCAATTTCAGCTCATTCCTGTCGTTGACGCAGATGAGACCCAACCTCTCCGCGTTTGCCCTGCCGCTGTGCAAGGCTGTTGGCCACTAAGACTGGAAGGAGCTGCTGTTGCCTGTACTTGGGATTGCTTGCTCTCTGCCTGGCCTCACCTGCCTGCACGCGTGCTGATAGTCGCTGGCCACCCCTAGTCCTCTCGCAGACAACCACACAGGCCTTCTACCGTCATGACCGCGCCAGACATAGATATAGTGCAGTCTGTCGCTGCAGACGAGCCAGCAATCACCGCCTCTGCCTCGCCGCCGCGTCGCGACCCCATTGAAGACGCCGACGCCAGCTACACACGCAAACGCCCCCGCCTGCACAGCGGGAGCAACAGCCTGTGCGCCATGCCTAGCAAGCCCCAGACCCCCGCAAATACTGCCGCATCACCCTCTGAGAAGCAGGTAGAGATGACCATACGCTCACACCCGCCCTTGTCCCCAAAGCGCGGCGGAGACGAGGACCACGGCAATGCTAACAACTTCCTCGAGGATCCCTCACCTACCCCCGGGCAGTCGCCTATACTCATAACTAGTAGCGAGGATGAGCGAGGAAGCCCGCCCATCATGATAATTGACGACGATGACGACGAAGCAGTCGGCTTTTCGGTACAGATGGACGCAGAAGACTACTTTCGCCGATTTCCGTACTCCCAACATGGTAGCTACTCTACCGTTGTTCGCGACCTGACACAACACATGCAAAGGAGTACGTCAAGTTTGATGCCCACTCAGCGCATACGATTCTAACAATATTAGTTGACAACGAAATCGATTTCGACTTCTTTCCTAGCCTTTCGCGATGGCTAGCCGACCTACCCGAACCTTCCGCTAACTCACATGGCTTTTATGCGAGTAAGGCCATGTTCTGGGATGATTTCTCTTTACTGGTGAACAAAGTGCTATCACGCAAGACGGCATTTGGCCACCAAGTAGACGATCGTCGCACGGGCGACATGTTCTACAGTTTCTTGAGTGCATACATCAGGATATGCTCCTACCTTTTACTTGCCGATTTCCTCCTCCTCTCCCGCCCGCGTCTCAGTGAGATGTATAATTTGCCTCTCCTTAGCCAGAAACACTTGCGGAACTGGCATACCATTCTTTTCCCTGAAAAGGCGCCAGTATTTTCTATGGTCGGCAAAGAATACTCCGCTGATATCCGGAAAATGGTCTCGCTACTACAGAAGGACTTCCTGGTTGCCAATGGTGCTCAAAATCTGCTACGGCTGGCCAATGAAGCCTTCCACCACGTGCCTTTGAACACGCAAGCCCAGATTGCAGCATTTACCGCTCCTGTGCTATGCTCATTGGGTATATCGATGTCGCAGGGCCCTAAATCTTCGAACGACGACAATCGTTCCGAATTTTGTCGCGGAGTCCTCCAGTTCTTGGAGCAGTACATGGACGATCTCTTCGATTTGAGCAGAACTACCGATTCTACCGTCGCTCGAGACTTGATTCAACACTTTCACTCGCTATTGTTGGAGCTATGTATCTGGGACAAGAAAATAGAGTCAGATCTGGTCGACAGATACTTAGACTTTCGGAGCGTCGATTCGCCGACAACATCGTCCTCCATCGAAAGCAGTCTTGCCAGGAAACAGGACGATTATCTCAATGACCCTCAATACTTTCCAGTACTAGTCGCCAACGCCTGGAAGTTCAAGATTCTACGCAGATACCTTACTAAAGGTAAAATGGACTTGCGCGTCATGAGTATAGGTGTGATGGATGTAAGCTTGGTTGAAATATGGAAACAGTACAATGAGACCAACGCAGCAGGAAAGCATCCTGTGATGCGGTACCTAGCGGACTTTCTTCTCGACGGGAAAGTGGTTGACTACCTCGTCAGCGTGGACTCACATCCCCAGCTCATCGCGCGCAGCGGAAACATTGTTGGGTTTCTCGTTGTGACTCAGCGTTGGACGGACTCCCAAGCGGACGCCATCTGGAACACGGTCGCCACAAATCCCGACCCTCGAGTGGTAACCGCAACTATGACCATGCTTAGGCCAATCATGCATCTGATGAAGCCCTCCGATCATCTGTACTTCTGTACTAAACTCCATGAGACGCCCATCAGTAGCTATACGATGGAAATATTCCGATTCCTACAAGACCTGGGCCAAAAGATCGTTGAGAAGGCCTCGGCAGAAGACTTCGCTATGAGGGAAAGCACCGCAAGACCGTGGAATGTTTGCATCCGTCTTGTCCGCGACATAATGTCTCAGAAGGCGCCAGACAAAGACATGCTGGACCTGTATTGTGAGGCTGCCGAGCACCTCAAAACTTTCGCACATAGCGTGCCCATTGAAGAGCGGTATTCAATCTACAGGAATTGTGCGAACTATATCGGCAGCAACTCAGCCGAGGCAACTGGAAGTGCAAGAGTCATCTTCTCGCTGGCTTCACCGATTCCCTCCGGGGACGGATCTTTCTTTCATGAAAATCAAGATGTCACATGCAAGATCTTAAGCGAGATTACATCATATGTCGATATCGAGAAAAACCATGAACCATCCACCCACCAACAGCTAGCTCTCCGTTGTCGGTTGGAGCTCCTAGCACTCATGATATGTCGTGCTGGACCAGCCATACCTGTCGAGATGTACAATCAGCTATGGGAACACACCATCGGTCTTCGTGCGCTCTCAAACACAGCCCGAGACTGGGCATGGGTGCAATTACTTCAAACGCTGAAAGTCGCCCCAAACAACGATTACTGTAGGCAACTTGTCTCTTCTCACATGACACACATGGACCCCAGCATGTACACAAATGGCATGTTCGAATTTGTCGCCAACTACAACTTTCCTATGACACGGCAGCCTGTTGTAACTGACCAAGGGGAAAAGACTGTATTGCAGATTCCCGGTGCCGATGTGCTATGGTCCATGGTTCTATCATCACCAGAAGGCACTATTGAAGATCGTGCTGCTCGTCTTCTTGCGAGTCGCTATGTGCAAATCAACGAAGCTGAGGGTGTTATGCTAGCAGATGTGGAAATTGCTCACACTGTCCTAGTCGAGAAGTGTATGCAGGAGATGCGTTCGGCCTGCAAGGTCATACGCAGTAAGTCTCCAGATAGTGGAGATCCAACAACCATGGATGTCACCGCATCTCACTTGGCTGTGCATGAAAATGAGGGGCGCTGTCGCAGAATCATCTTGTTCCAAAAGCTCCTACTTGAGATGATACGCCAAAAACCAGAATTCAATCGCAATCGAAGAGCAGATTCCAAAGTCGACGAAACGGATGTTTTCTACGGCGATTCGATCGCGATCCGAGTCCAGTGTGGTAACGATAGACAGGTCGTGATGATGGGTGCAGACCACACTGTGCAAGATCTTTACAGGCGACTATGTCATGTATCGAAATGCACCAAAGTCAACCTTTTCGCGAAAGGCAAGCGGCTCAACGTTTCCGATAGGTCGAACGAGAAACTGAGCCGTATCGACTTCGGAGGGCAGCTCCTCGTACAAAGGGCCCCAGATGCGGAAGTCACTCAACCTTTGTCGGGACAGAGCACAGGATCTTCGGTTTTCGAATCCACAGTGGGTAAATATCTGGATGAGTTATTTTCCTTAATGGACACCGATGATAACCTAAGCCAAATGGTATGTATTTGTATGGGATCGCGCTCTACGTTGCTGATTCTCGCCAGGTGTTCGATTATTTGAGCTTCTTCCCAGCTCGACATACCTTTGCGGATAGTGTCATGGCAGGCGCAGCACGATCGGAAGATCTTTTCCCCCCAGGAAAACTCTATCAGGCGAGATACGCGGCTATGGCTCTTCAGGCTAGACTGCGAGAGCAGATACGTAATGTAAGGTTACTGGATAATTCGTGTTGATCCCCATGTGCTAACGAACTAGAAGTCAAACCTAGACGAGAAGTTCCTGGTCGGTGCTATACGCCAGTTGAACGAAGCTCTTCTCAATCCTCGTCTCATTAGTGATACAATCTCGAGCTTTCAAGGGCTGCAATTAGCGGCTGTCCTCGTGGCAGCTCTGTTGGAGTTTCTTAGAGGTAAGTGCTACGTTCTCATTTCCCATAACATGGCCAATGCCTTATGCAAAGTAGAGCGTCCTTCCGCCGACGCCTCGGCCACCTATTTCTCGGACGGCACACGACTCGGAAACCGCCTTATCATGATCCTTTTGGTTTCACTTGAAACGAACGAAGATGCTACCGTGGTTCAAGATTGTTATGCCACTATCTTAGAAGCATCACTTCACTCGCGCGTCATCTGGGAAGCTTTCATTGAGCACCCCCAAGTTCCGCAATTGCACCGAGCGCTACTTCTGGAAGACCTCAGGGAGCCTTTGCGACAACATGTTGCTCAGAAAATTGATTCCGTCTGTGGTGGTGATCTTCCATCTACATGTCCACTGACCAAAGGCGAGATTGCCACCCAGTTCTGGGCGGTCATTTCTGCGATCATTCCAGATTCTGTGCGCCTTCCTACACAATCTTTTCAACTACTCGACATTGCTGAGCGGGTTTTTCGGGCAAAAGACGAGTACGAACGCAACGAAGCTTCACTCCGACTGTACTTGACTAAATGGATTGACCTACTATTGAACCACAAGCATCAGGAG